AATAATTGGCATTCAATAAATTTTTGCGAATCTAATTAATTGAATTCACGAGTTATTGAACACCCTTTGCATCTCAGGTGAGGGACAGTCGTGAGAGCACTGGTATGTCGAGTGTCAGAGAGGGAGGTTAGAGAGTATGCGATCCAAAGGCTGACATCTAATGTGTTAATCACAACAATTGACTCATTATTTATAAGTTGTTTAAAAGTTTTGACTTAAAACACTTAAACGCTTACAAATTAATTACCATAAGTTTGTTGTATAAAATATGTTATTTATTTATTAAAAGTGCTTTTCATTAAATGTAATATATATTAAAATGAAGTCATTTTATAAATCAAACAAAATAACTTTTAAACAATACTTAAAGCAATATTTTTTACCTAAACTTTTTTATACAATAAAAATAGTCTATAAATAACTACGAAAAACATTTAAAAACATTAAATAAAATTTGTATCAAAATATAAAACAAAAAATACAATAAATAATAATTGAAGAGAATTGTAATGTAATAATGGATGCGATTCTTGTGTCCATTCATTTCTCTTGTGTCTTGTCCTCAATAGCGGCGATTCGTTGCAACACTTCTGCATTGGATTCCTATGAATGACAACAAAAAGCAATTATAAAACACAATAAGACAACAAATGCGGCCATCAATGAGAACAATGGCAGCCAATGGTAACCCATTATCACCTCATATTGCTTGACGTCGGCGTCGAAGTCCTCGAAGAGAGACACCAATTGATTAACAAGAGTTTGGTGTCGATCGCCAGCGTCTGAGTCCTTGTTTTCCATCAGATTCTTCATCTCAAACACATTGGACTTGATTTTGGGCAACAGATCCCGATATCGGATGAGCTGAGCGCTGGACACGCGGTCGCGCTCTTCCAAGTGTTGCATTCGGTGTTTCGCGATATCAAGCAATCGGTTCGCTTCGGTCAGCATTCGGTACGCGCGATGTCTTTCGGCCGCCAAGTCTTCGGCGCTCATCTTCTTGTAGTCCACAAACCCTTCACTCTTCGGTTTGGATGTCATTCTCACGAGTCGTTTGTATTGAAAGTCTAATCGATGTCTCAATTGAGGGATACTTTCGATAATGTCTTCCTCTCTAAGGCTTTCTCTCAATTCAATGAATCGAACGATCGGTTTGTGTGAAGAAAGAGCGCGAAGACTAACCACACGATCGAAACTTCGAACCAATCGTATGCCGACTGAAGGGACACACGATAGCAAAAGTGTAAGTTTGCGGACCAATGGCTGACATCTATCGCGCGTTTGAAGCCATTCACAGCACGAATCGCATGCTGTGGTCGCGCCTGAAATGGCACTCACTATCAAAGCGCCGGCTTTTATGCCAATACTTATGGCATTTGAATTGAATGAACGCTATGTTTGACAACACGTTTGGCGCCACTCATGGCTCACACACTACACAAACACTCCCTTTCAGTGCCTTTCAGTGCCTTTCACTCCAACTGTTGTGCCATTCATTTAAAGAGCACAACAAACACAACACAACCCATCACTCAATGCATGCCTCAGTTTTGATACACTTTTATATAATTGTTATTTAATTTAAATTAAAAAGTTTTTTATATTTATCTGAATTGTGTTTCTCTTGTGATAAACAGTGTTGTGTTGTGTCCACACATTTGATGATATGATTTGACAGACTCTTTGGAGACACCGATTGATAACAACAACAACACCGCCCGACCTAATGGTTGTCCGGCACTCGCCGTGGATGTGATGTCTTGAGCGGACACAACAACACTCTCTCCGCCGAAGAGCATGTCGTCGTTGGAGGAGGAGGTGTCCAAAGAGCAGACCTTCAAAGAGGTTCAGTTCTCCCTCTGCGAAGACGTCTCACAATATGAAAATGTATTGCATTTTGGTTTTTATTCATTGCTTGTCATATGACTTGTCTTCGCCGGTAATCTGATCTCATTGTTGTTATGATCTGTTTTATAGGTGAAGAAGTTGTTGCTGTCGGGCGGCGCCAAGTTCTTCAACTACTTGTCGGACAATGTGACTCATCTGATCGGTGATAATCCGGATCACCCGTCGGTGTCCGAAGCCGTTGAGATCTATGAGAAGCCTGTGGTCACCGTAAGTGCTCTTTCGCTGTGTTGTGTTATGGCTTACAATCCGATTATCATATGTTTGTGTTGTCTTTGTTTTGTAGAGTCGATGGGTTTGGATGTCGGCGAAGGCGTCCCTATTATTGCCGTAAGTATTTGTGTCGGTATTAAGTGATTACAAATCTAATCCATTATTTGTTGTTACGGACAGAACGGCCGGCTTTTCCCCATTTAAGAGCCAATTGTTCTCGAATATCATCGCCTGTCCGTCCAATATATCGGGCACTGATGTGCAGTCGTTGTGGGCAATGATCACATACTATGGCGGCTCGTTTCGGCTCCAATTGGAGGCCGACTGCACTCATCTCATATCCACTAAACCCGAGGGCCAGAAGTACGAGAAGGCCGTCCACACCAACGATGCCATCAAAATAGTGACACCCGATTGGGTCATCGATTCGGTCAAAAACAAGTCCATCTGCGACGAAGACCTCTACCACCCGAGGCTTCTCATCTTCAACAACACTTCCCAGTCGTCCATACCGTCAGCCAAAGTGGAACTCTCAGACTTTTCCACCCCATCCGCGGCCCCAATGGCCACATCAATGGCCGTCTCGTCAGCGCCCGCCTCCGTCACCATTGCCTTCACCACCGTTGCCAACACTACCGCCTCCTCCACAGCACCGCAACTGGCGCTCAGAACTGTGTCACTGCCGACCACAGCAATGATCACCACTTTTTCGATCGCACCGCCCCTTCAGTCCAGTCCCACCGCCGTTCAGGGCGGACGCGTTCGCGTGTTTCTGCCGCCGCAGCAAATGAGACTCATGCAGATGAAGCAGAACCAGATCCGCCAACTCAGCGCTGGTGGCGGACCCACAATGGTTGCCCCCACACAACAGCAAGTGATGAACATTCAGCAAATGATTCAACAACAACAACGACAGGCCCACCCCTTACCGCCCCAACAGCAACAACAGCTGCCGCAGCAACAGTTGCAACACGTATTAGATCCCAATTCAATGGATCCCAACCATCAGCAGCCGCCACAGCAACAGACACTACAACAACAACCGCCGCAACAGTGGAATATAAATCAACAATTTATGGCACAAACGTCCCAACAAACCGGTGCTCCCGTTAGCCAACAGCAGCCAATTCAAGTCATATCATCGCAGGGCGCGGGACCCGAGTTGACAAAACTGCGGCCAATCAACGCGACCGGCGGTCAACAGCCGCGTCAGGTCTATCTGGCGGTTCAGCAACAGAGGCCCCAACACTTCATACAAGTGTCACAACAGCAACAGTCCCAACAACAGAGACCGCAATCAAACATTATTATACAACAGAGAGGGCCCACACCCGGGAGCGTGCAATCCGTGCGACTACAACAGGCGCCCCAACACCTCATTCAACTCCAACAGCGACACCCGGGGCCGTACGTCCGCACCACTCAACAGCACATTATCATTCAACAGCAGAACCAACAGGCGATCCAACGGCAACTCCAACTACAACAACAAGGGCTTCAGGTTTGACTGGAAATGCTCGCGATTTTAATTAACGCTTAATTATGTTGTCTCCGAACAGCCCAATCAATCGATGCCAAACCAACTGCAAGGCCAGCAAACGGGTGTCATCGGTCACCCGCAGGTTCAGCAGCGCATGACTGCGGCCCGAATACCTCAACAGTTCCTACAGCAGAATCAGATGCGCGGACAACAAATTCGCGGTCCACTCCCCGGCCAACAGATCATATCGAGTGCAATACCGACGGGTCAGCCGCGAGTCTTTGTCAGAGGGCCCGCGCAATACGCCATTCAGGGACAGCAATTGCAACAACAACTGCAACAACAGCAACAATTTGATCCACAACAGCAGCAACAACTTCAACAACAGCTTCAGTCTCAACAACCACTACCACAACAGCAGTTCATCAGAGGACAGGTACCTCAGGGTCAGGTCCAGTTCATCAGAGGTCCCCAATGGACACCCGGACCACCTCAAGACCAGCCAACGCTTCCGCCACAGCAGCAGCAGCAACAACAACAACAGCACTTGACACCTATGCGTCCGCAGCATATTCTGGTGACCCAGTCATCCCAACCCCAGCCAACGCAACAACAGATAATCCAATGGCAACAACAGCAACAGGACATCCAGAGGCGACAACTGCAACAACAACAACAGCAGCAACAACAACAGGGCCCACAACGGTTCCAGTTATCATCCGTCTTACCGCCCGATAAGGTTAGGCCAGTCGTGTCTGTTGTAAGTGTCTCTTCGGCCAATACAGATAGTGTTCCGTCGGCGGCGACTACAGCGGCCGCGACGGCCGTCCGCACTGCCGCTCAAATACCGCATACCATAAGCCCTATGATAGCCACCCTCTCGAACATCCAAACCATACCAAATGCCAGTACAGTCTGTGTGTCAGCACAAGTAAGCCCTACCATAAGCACTATCACCAACACTACTACTCTAAGTACTGCTACTTCTTCTGGTCCACAACCGAACACCACTTGTTGTGTCACTTCTCCTGTAGTAAACCCTAAAACTAAGACAGCTTTAGCTAATTTGCTTAATAACCGGCTCCAAAGTGGGGGCAATAATACCGGTGTCAGCACCAGAGGTGAAGGCGGATCGACCACTACTCCCACTGAAGTCTATTCTCCTACTGTTTGCTCGGTTTCGGGTTCTCTATCTCTTTCCTCCTCTACTACTTCTCTGCCCAACAATAAGACAGGTCTCGGTTTTATCGGATCTCCCGGTGTGGTAAGGATGGCATGTCTTTCACTAGTCTTTCACCATTAGTTAATGCCATGAAATACGAGTGTATTGTTTGCATGTATTGGTCTCTATATCTCACAAACGCATGTCTTGACGATAATGTTGTTTTTGATTACAATTAATCCCTCCACTCGTGTCAGACGACAAGTATTTGATTTTGGTGTCGATTTTATAGGCAATGCCGTCGGGCGCTGAGATGGGCCAACACTTGCGCGCTGTGGGAGCGATGGTGGGCGACGACCCGTCGGCGTCGCACCACAATCACGCTCAGCAACAGTTGATGCAAATCCGGTACTTCGGGGTCGACTCGAAAGTGCCGATACCTCGCGAACAGTGTCTCTTGGGTTGTGTTTTTCATTTGTTCGGCTTTGAGGCTCTCGTCGAACACAAAATACTCGATTTGTGGGTCAAAAAGTTGATTAAATTTGGCGCAGAAGTCGAGCGCCAGTATAGTAGCGCCAAATGCACTCATGTCTTGTGCGACAACACTCACCATCCCTTCATCAAAGAGGTCAGTGGTTAGAGTTTTGGGCTATGATTCGCTATTTAATGATTGATTTGTTTGTCCAATTGGAACAGTGCTTACGGGAAGGGAAGCGTTGTGTGACTCCTTATTGGCTCAACGATGTGGTGTCGGACAAGAAGTTGTTGCCGCCGACGAAGATCTATCACTTGCCGCACTCATTCAATGAGACGAAGCCATGCAAACAACACGTACGTGACATTCATTTTGTTTCATTGCTTTTTGCATTAAGTGGTCTTATATTTCATTTGACAAACAATTGGTTTTAAAATGTTTTGTGTTTTCACTTTATTCTCGGCTCTCAACAGATCATAACAATGACTAACTTTGAAGGCGAGGAACGCTTGAGAATAAAAGAGATGATTCTTAAGACGGGCGCCAAATACACATCATATTTGTCCCAAAAGAATACGATTATTATTTGCAAACGGTATGTGTTGGCCACCAATTGGTCGTAGAAATTATGGTCTAATTAATACCATATATTTCGTAGACTCGAAGGCGAAAAGTATCGCAAATCGGTTGAGTGGCGACTGGCGATCGTTAACACGGTTTGGCTGCACGACATCCTCTTCGGTCAGATGGAAGCGTTACAGTTGTCGAGCATTCATAAGAAGTACCAGAACTTTGACTTAAAAGATGCGCTCCGTATCGAACACCAAACCGTTCAGCTATTGATGAATGCGTGGCGACAACCCATTCGTCTCACCGAAGACTTTGTCAGGACTCGAGTCGCCGACTATAACGAGAGGCAGGCCTTGAAAGTGGTCAAAGATATTCCTCCCAATGTTGTCATCGATAATAATAGCAATAATAATATTAATAATTTCAATAATAATAGTAATAATAATATCAATAATAATATTAATAATCTTAAGAGAGAGAAATCAGCCGAAGAAGAAAGTGATGAACCATTGGCTAAGAAACTGAAAGTGCAAACGCCAGACGAGATAAGCCCGGTTAGTATCAAAGAGGAGTCCATATCCAACACATCGTTGATCACAACGAACAACAACTCGTTGCCCGCACTTCAGACGCCAAATCCCGTGGAAGTGGTGAAGAATATACGGATAATGTTTACGTCGATTCGCGACAATAATCGACACGAATTACGTGCCGTTGTGTTAGCCCTCGGCGGACGCCTTACCTCAGTGGCCAACGATGTCACACATCTGGTCACCGACCGAATGGTACGAACCGTAAAGTTCTTGTGCGCATTCGGTTCGTGCAAACACATAGTGACCTCCGAATGGCTCATCGAATCGGGTAAACAAAATCGATTTGTCGACGAAAACGACTACCGATTGTGCGATTCGACGGCCGAAAAGCATTTCGGCTTCTGTTTGGAGCACTCGTTCAACATTAGAAACCCACAGCTCTTCAAGAGTTACGTCTTCTACATAACCAACGGTTGTATTCCATCACCAAAAGTGCTCAAAGAGGTTATCGAGTGTACCGGCGGTCAAGCGGTGACCAGTAGACGGCCGACGAAGCGACAGATGAAACACATGCGAGAGAATGGCCTCAAATTCATAGTCATTACGTGCGAAAATGATATCCATTTGTGTGATCTATTCTTCACCCGCAAAGTCGGTCAGTATTACTAACACTCAAAGACTTAATAGTTTTAAACGTAAAATATTCTTAGATTTTGTTCATTAATTGCTTTAATTTATTTGTCATTTTATTTGCAGATGTATTGAATGTTGAGTTTGTTTTGTCCGGAATTCTCAAACAAGAGCTCGACTTTGATTTATATGGTTTCAAACAAAATATATTTAAAGAGTAATTAAATTAAGTGAAAAAAATACTAATAAAGAGAAAAAACATATTAAATTAAATATAAAATGAATTAAACAAATGGCCATTAATTAGTCCTTTGCATTCCATTGACCGACGCGTTCGAGTGCTGAGGAGTGGTATTACCGCCGATGAGACCGGCGGATGGCGGCTGACCGCCAACGGGTCCCACACCAGCGCCAGAGGGGCCGCCAGCGGTCTCGGGGCTGTGTTTTTGTTTCTTCTTCTTCTTGTCCTTCTTCTTCTTCTTGCGCTCCTTCTCCTCGTCGTGTCGTTTCTGTTTCTTGTGCTTCTTCTCGTGTGCGGCCACGCCTTCAGACACTTCTGAGTGCGAGTCATAGGACGGCGTTTCGCCGCTCTTCTGCTTATTCTTCTTGTGTTTGTGTTTCTTTCGCTGAACGGATTGACTCATAAACCTGTACTGTTCCGGAAGCTATACCATCGATGGACACACAAATATACACATAATATCGTTAAACCATTCAATAGATAACGAGTGGTATAAGTGCTACGAACCGGTCCGGCGTGTAGTCGAAAGCCCAGCAATTGATTGGCGGTCAGAGGCAGCAGCTCTTTGCCACCGATCGGCGGCTTTTCGTACAGCAGTCGAAGTGAACTGAATTACAAATATAAAGCCATTCATTCAATACATTGTTCACACGGTGTGTATGTATTGGTCAGACCTGTTGTCCTGAAGGGCCGGTACGTCGATATTGCCGGGAAGGTTGGGCAGGAATGCGCTCAACTGGTCCTTCACTTTACGGCCCGAGAACTTGTTGTACGAGTGCTCGAGACTGTTCTTCAGCAACAGATTCGCGCTTCCCGTCAGTTCGCTCTCAGCTATCATTGCAGACAAAACCAATCAATCAGTTATTCAATGGCAACACAAAGACATAGACAATCGTGCGGTAAAGAGAGACCACAAACACCACAAACCTGGAGGTTCTTTCATGAGATAAAATGGTCCCGAATGGACAATGACTGGCGTTTTGCCCAATGAGATGGTCGTCTTCAGAGTGCCCGTCGAGTCCTGTCGGGGAACTACTGGCGACCGATTCCCTCGCGGACTCGATTTGGGCGAAGAGGTCGGGTCTGCGGGCCGTCTGACCCCCATTTCGTTCATCATTGTCTCTCTTAAGACTTCGACAACCGATTGTCCCGTTTGTTGGCCACAACTATAACCGCATTTAGTGTCCACTCAGAGGGTCTTTGTATGCGTTTGTGACGGGAAGTGACCACTAAAACGGTGGACACAATCGCTGTTTGTCTCTCAAATGTCTACACTTTTAACAACAGTAATAAACAATACGTTTTGATATGCCTTTCAATGGGTATATAAAACGTGCGCCAAATCTAAGCACTCATTATTGGTGTCATTCATATGTTTAACGAGAGTTTGGGGGCAAATGGGGTCTCAATTGTACGCCAAATATAGTGAACATTATTTATGGATAGAGTTTGGCATCGATTGGCCTTTCATTAGAGAANTCGACAACTGTAACGCTTCCATCTGACCGAAGAGGATGTCGTGCAGCCAAACCGTGTTAACGATCGCCAGTCGCCACTCAACCGATTTGCGATACTTTTCGCCTTCGAGTCTACGAAATATATGGTAAAAATTAGACCATAATTTCTACGACTAATTGGTGGACAACACATACCGTTTGCAAATAATAATCGTATTCTTTTGGGATAAATATGACGTGTATTTGGCGCCCGTCTTAAGAATCATTTCTTTTATTCTCAAACGTTCCTCGCCTTCAAAGTTAGTCATTGTTATGATCTGTTTAGAGCCGAGAATGAAGTGAAACACACAAAACATTTTCAAACCAATTGTTTATCAAATCAAATATAAGATCACTTAATGCAAAAGCAATGAAACAAAATGAATGTCACGTACGTGTTGTTTGCATGGCTTCGTCTCATTGAATGCGTGCGGCAAGTGATAGATCTTCGTCGGCGGCAACAACTTCTTGTCCGACACCACATCGTTGAGCCAATAAGGAGTCACACAACGCTTCCCTTCCCGTAAGCACTGTTCCAATTGGATAAACAAATCATTAAATAGCAAATCATAGCCCAAAGACCTAACCACTGACCTCTTTGATGAAGGGATGGTGAGTGTTGTCGCACAAGACATGAGTGCATTTGGCGCTACTATACTGGCGCTCGACTTCTGCGCCAAATTTAATCAACTTTTTGACCCACAAATCG